CGAAAGAGTCGAACCCAACTTTAAAACAACGCTAAACCCTAAGCCTCAATATCTAAATTCGGCTTCAACACTTGAACCCTCAATCCCCGAAGCCCGAAAACCTCAGACCTTGAGCCAATTTCCTGTCTCCGCTTACGGTTTAGTTTTAGGCTTTAGGGTTTCGTTTGGGATGAAAGTTGCATGTAAATCAGTTACAGTCTTCAACTACAAAATACTAGAGAGGCCCTAAACGTAAAACCCTATAGCAGCCGTTCCCGAAACTTGAGGTGATTCCTTCTACACCAGCTGGGTTGGAGGAGGTGGCCACACGGGGGCTTCCCTGGTGCTTGAACCTTGGTGCATGAGGTAAGATGGGCGGTGTGTTAGCAAGAGTTGACGAGGAAGCTTCCGGAAAGATTTTCAACGGGGTGGGGTGTTGAACAAAAGATGTTTCCAGCAGGCTTCCAAGAGTGGTGTTAGATCGGCAGGGTTGTTGAAGGGATTTGAAGCTCTTAGTGGGCTTTTGGGTTCCGTGAGCCGCCCTGAACCCCAAAAAGCACGGTTTTGGATATCTCGGTTTCTTGGAGGTCAATAACCCTAAACCATTAAACCCTTGGATTTAAAGGTATTGTAGAGTTATAGGGTTCAATGTTTCATCTAGAGTGCCAAGATTGGCCCTTGTAGTCCCAATACAACTATACTGAAGAAAGCCCCAAACTCAGTATTCATTATTTTGCCCTGAACCCTAAACCCTTCTTAAGGCCCCATATTGCGGTGTCTTTTAGGATTTACCTCAGAAGCTCGCCAAGGTCAGAACCCTTGTCCCTACTAGACCCGACACCCCGGAAAAAGGCAGAAGCCAGAACATGGTTCCTACTACAGGGTGTCTATAAAAGTACTGCAGGGGCTCTTTTTGGGGAGTTGTCCAAATTAGGGCCCCGCCTTCGTGTCCTTTCTGCCACAAAACTTACAGAACTCTTCTGAAAATACCCTTAACCCTGAACCCTAAACCCTTGTAAGACCTTGAAGCACCCTTGAACCACTGAAAGGCCTTGATTACGGCCCACATGAACACCCTACAAGCCCTAAACCTTCAAGAGCCGCCTTAAACCCCAAAAGGCACGACCCCAAACCCTAAACCCTAAACCCTAGGCCCTTAACCCTAAACCCCAAGCCCGAAACCACAAACCCTAAACGCCTTAAACCCTAAACCGAAACGAAGGTTTTTTGGGTCGTTGACCTTCATTGTGAGCCTCGTAAACTGGCACCACCTTCGGGCGGCATGCGGGCCACTTTTCGAAGATTTGGGGTTCGAGATTTTGGGGTTTGGTGGGGGTGTTGCCGATTTTCGTGGGCTTAGGGCTCCCGAATCATACGAGCTTCCTTGGTCGAAAGCGGCACTCTGGCTTTTATGGGGGTTGCGGCCAGGGTGTTGATGAGGCTTTGGAAGGGATCTGCTGGGTGGTTTGTAGATTGTTAACCCTAAACACAAAGTCCCAAAACCCTAAACTCTAAACCCTAAACCCTAAAACCCTAAAACCCTAAATCCTAAACCCTAACCCCCAAACCCAGAGCCTTATTAAGGAACCTTTTGTGGAATCACGAAGCTTTCCGGTGAAGTCCCGAAGTCAAGCCGAAAGCCCCGACTCGAGCCCGAGAACATCAGGTGAAAGCTGCAGGCTGTTTGAGGGTTGGGGATTTAGGGTTTAGGGCTTAAAGTGTAGGGTTTAAGGTTTAGGGTTTAGGGTTTAGGGTTTAGGGTTTAGGGTTTAGGGTTTAGGGCTTAGGGCTTAGGGTGTAGGGTTTAAGGTTTAGGGTTTAGGGCTTTGCGTTTGCTATTGGGCTATCCAATACTAGACTGTACATCACTATACTACACTATACAATTAACTGATACTAGACTACACTGCCCTATACTCTACGCTCTCCACTGCACTATACTATACTACATTTGAGACATGATACTATATCATATTATTTTATATGATGCTATATTCTACTATATGGTTTTGTATAGATGTCTTGAGGGCTTTCCATTTTGTTTAGGTGGTTCTTCAGATTCGTCAGGGTTCCGTAAGATTTAGGGCTTAGGGTTTAGGTATGTATAATATAAAGAAAATATACCCGAAGCCCCTGACCAAAATAATGCAACAACCCTAAACCCTAAACCCTAAACCCTAAATCGCTAGTCTTCTGGTGCCGCCAGCTTTTCGGACGGACCTCCCCGGCTGCATCTTCACCCCTAGATCCTAATATAGAAGCCTAGGGTTTAGGGTTTAGGGCCTACTCTAGAAGCCTAAGTAATTACCGCTATTATTCCTTGGGGTTTCTGTATGTAATGATACTATAAAGGGGCCCAAAACCCTATTCTAATTATGAAGGCCCCTAGATCCTACAGCGATGAGGCCCGCACCCTGAACCTTAAGCTTTTGAGTTTACTTAGTTGCTGTGGGTTTTTAAGGTTTACGGTTTAAGGTTTAAGGTTTAGGGTTTAGGGGGCTTTTCTTAGTTCTCCACCCAACCTTTAAACTTTTGGGTTCTTAGAATGTACCCCGCCTGTTTTTTGGACCTTCTACTTCCCTCCCTGGCTTAGTGGGGAAGTAAGTGTAGCAGTTAGGGGCCAAACTAATTGCCTATGCTATTTTTTGGGGTTCCTTACGATAGTTATAGTATAAGATCCACCCGAAACCCTATTCTAATTTATTCAGGCCCCTAAACCCTAAACCCTTATAGTAGCCCTTTTAGTACCCCTTAAAGGAACCCTTAAAAGGAACCCCCAAACCCTATTCTGATTTATTTAGGCCCCTATGTTACCGGCACCTGGGACCTGTGGATCCGAAACCCTACTGCTGAGGGGTTTTTATGGTTCAGGGTTTCGGGGTTTAGGGTTTAGGTTAGGGTTTAGGGTTTAGGGTTTAAGGTTTAAGGATTTAGGGGTTTAGAGGTTGAGGGGTTTAGGGTTTAGGTTTGGGTTTAGGGGTTTAGGGTTTCTGCACGAGCGGGGATGAACTTGGAGAAGACCGATACTGGTGCCTGCGAGGATCGCAGCCGCGCGCCGTGCGCACCTAAACAGCCACCTGCATTTAGTGGTCAGATGCAAAGCTTTAAGACACCCACAACCCCAAACCCTGAAACCCCAAACCCCAAATCCTTGCCCTGAACCCTAAACCCTAAACCCTAAACCCTAAACCCTAAACCCTAAACCCTAAACCCTAAACCCAAACCCTGAAACCCCAAACCCCAAAACCTTGTTCCATCATGAGGTTTCGGAGAACCTACTTTATGGACACCTGAAACCCCAAACCCCAAAACCGTGTTCCATCATGAGGTTTCGGAGAACCTACTTTATGGACAAGTTCTGCGTACATCAAGGCCTCTCCTTTCTCGCCTCTGTTTCGGGTGCTGGGGCAAGAGTGGAGGAATGCAGGACTAGTATAAGGACTCGCAGAAGAGATGAGGGTTTAGAGTCTTTAGGGAATACCCTAAACCCTAAACCCCAAACCCTAAACCCTAAACCCTAAACCCTGAACCCTGAACCCTAAACCCAGTATAGTAAGCACCAGTGACCTGCTCTTCGGCCTGGTAACTTAAGCCCGAACAGAGGCATCCTCGAGGATTTGGGGTTTCAATCTTTAGAGCTTAGAGTGTTGGGGTCTAGACGTCGGGTGTAGGGATTTTGGGTAAGGGGTTGGGGAAATGAATTCAGGGTGTGAGGTTCAGGCTTTAGGAAATTAGTGCCAAGATGTGCGAAGAGATGGCTATAAACCGTAATTGAAAGCTTACGTGATGTAGGGGCCTGAAATAATAATGAACCAGTATTATTCCATAGGGTTGCTTTCGAAACTGCTATGCTTTAACATCCCCCCATTCTAATCATGAAGGCCCCAACATTGCTCGGAAATCCAGAGAATCGCGTCTTCTTGTACAGAGTAATTATAGGCCCCAAAAGCACTTTTCTTTTTGCATAGTTGGGTAACATGTTAGACTTTATGGGTACTTAAATTCAATATATTGGGAATATCAGTTAATTCAGTTCAATAATGCTACCCCAACCATGAACTAGTTTTTGCGTGTTCCCTGTTCTGAAGCATCATGGGGCTTGGCGAGCGAGGCTCTTTCGCAATGTTCGGGTTTAGGATCGGGAAAGCTGGAAGGTAGATCGCTGAACCCCTTTCAAGGACAGAAACAACTCTGAACCCTAAACCCCCAAACCCCTTATTAAATGCTAAAGAATTGAAGTCTAAACCTTATAAACCCTAAAACCGAACTTCTTATTAAAAGCGCCAAAGAATTGAACTTTAAACCTTACACCCTAAACCCTAAAACCCCTTGGCATGCGCCAAAGAATTTAAGTCCAAACCTTAGGCCCTAGACCCTAAACCCTGTGCAGATGCTGGATGGTGAGGGGTTTAGCAACTCTTTTCCCTCAGCGTTGCTGTGGGCTCAAATGCTGGCGGCCTCAACATGTCAGGGCCTTCGCTACTCCTGCAACTTTGTGGGCTACTGGGCCATGGCCATTTGCCAACTCTGAGGATGATAGGAGTTTCCTGTGATACCTGGTAAGGTCAGATGTGCTCGAGGTGACGCCTCTGGCAGACATGGTCGCAACGGCCTGCGCCAGAATGTTTAATCTAGAGCTGCCAGTGTCTTTCGTGGCAGGCTTGCAGTAGAGATGCACCACTTGCCGTTCGCCGGAGCTGCGCCTCGGAGAGTAAGGGGCCGGGCCATGGACCGCGCAGCACTGGACTTACACTCCGGAGATGGCTTCGCCACACAGCCTCCCGGCAGACATGGTGACCACGTTGTCAGAGCCTGGGTGGCCACGCGCGCCCAATGATTTGATTTCTATGACGGTCAAGGCCATAGAGCAGCCGTTGTGCTACAGGAGAAACTGCAATGGATCCCCTTGGCCCGCTGGCTGCCGGAGGAGGCGCTCGGGGCCGTGCCATGGTAGGCGCGTGTGCTTTGCTGCCTCCTGCAGGCGAAGAAGGAGGCATTGCCAGCACAGCCGGGGGGGGTCAGTGAAGTTCTTCAGAACGGAGTTAATCTCGTGAGCAGGGCCAACACTGGTCCCGACCTCAGAGCAGAGCCGGCCACAGTAAACCCCAAACCCAAGGAACAGGGCTTTGGGTTTAGGGCTTAGGGTTTGGGGTCTGGGGTTTAGGGCTTAGGGTTTAGGGTTTAGGGTTTTGGAGGACTATACCAGAAGCCCAAAAGTCGGAAACCCAATAGCCTGAATTAGTGTAATATATAAGCAACCCCCGCACTACTCGTCCTTAAACCGGTTTCCAACTTTTTGGGGTTTACCATAGGCCGCTGGGTCAAAGTACCCTATAAATATAGAAGGAAGGCCTAAGCACTAAACCTCATGATGGAACAAGGTTTTGGGGTTTGGGGTTTCAGGGTTTGGGTTTAGGGTTTAGGGTTTAGGGTTTAGGGTTTCGGGGTATGTTATACGATTATTAAGGCCACTACAGTACTATTGGGAATTAGTCAGGCTTCTATCTCACTCAACTCTCTACCCCTTCAGCCCGAAAGAACCCTAAGCCCAAAGGCCCTCAGCGTTTAGGGGTTTAGGGGTCTGGGGGCCTTCAGATTTAGGAATTTAGGGCTTTAGGAGTTTAGGGCTTTAGGAGTTTAAGGCTTTAGGGGTTTAGGAATTTAGGGCTTTAGGAGTTTAGGGCTTTAGGGGTTTAGGTATTTCGAATTCGAGAGGCGACCCGGATCTCAAACGACGGGGCGTGGCGTCCTTTGCGGCCTTCATCGGTGCCTTGGCTTGGGAGCCTTCAGAGAGGCCCTTAGGGTTTCAGGGGTTTAGGGGTTTAGGGGTTTAGGGGTTTAGGGTTTAGGGTTTAGGGGTTTAGGGTTTAGGGTAGGGGTTCCTTTAAGACTCTATAAAGGTTCCTTGAAGGGTTCCTTTCGGGGGTTCCTTCTAGGGGTTGCTGCAAGGGTTCGTTTTGGGGTTCCTTTTAGGGGTTGCTGTAAGGGTTCCTTTAAGGGTTCGTTTTGGGGGTTCCTAGGGGTTGCTGTAAGGGTTCCTTTAAGGGTTCGATTTGGGGGTTCCTTTTAGGGGTTGCTGTAAGGGTTCCTTTACGCTCGTTTTGGGGCTTTCTCTTTAAGGCTGCTAGATTGGAGTTCCACATGGGTTTGGGGCTTTAGGGGTTTAGGGGGGCAGTGGGCCCTAATCCAAAGTTCCGTTTTACCAAGTCAACCATAAGCCCTAAACCCTGAACCTTAAACTCTAACGCCCTAAACCCGAAACCTTACACCCTAAAGCCCAAAGCCCTAAAGCTTAAACCCTAAAGCCTTAAACCCCAAACCCTAAAGCTTAAACCCTAAAGCCCTCAAGCCGTAAGCCCAAAACCTTGAACCTTAAAGCCCAAAATCCTAAAGCTTAAACCCCAAAACCCTAAACCCAAAACCCTAAAGCTTAAACCCTAAAGCCCTAAAGCGCTAAGCCCGAAACCTTAAACCCTAAAGCCCAAAACCCTAAAGCTTAAACCCCAAAAACCTTAAACCCTAAACCCCAAACCCTAAACCTTAAACCCTAAAGCCCAAAACCCTAAAGCCTAATTAAACCCTAAATCCTAAACCCGAAATCTTAAACCCTGAAGCCCTAAACCCTAGAGCCCTAATCCCGAAACCTTGAACCCGGAACCCCCAAACCCTAATACCCTAAACCTTAAACCCTAAAGCCCAAAACCCTAAAGCTTAAACCCTAAAGCCCTAAAGCCTAGACCCTAAAATTGCCCTTAGACCTTAAACCCTAATGCCCAAAGCCCTGAAGCTTAAACCCTAAAGCCCTAAACCCGAAACTTTAAACCCTAAAGTCCAAAAGCCTAGAGCTTAAACCCTAAAGCCCTAAACCCTAAATCCAAAGCCCTAAAGCTTAAACCCTAAAGCCCTAAAGCCCTAAGCCCGAAACCTTAAACCCTAAAGCCCAAAACCCTAAAGCTTAAACCTCAAAACCCTAAACCCTAAACCCGGAACCTTAAACCCTAAAGCCCAAAAACCCTAAGCCCGAAACTTTAAACCCTAAAGCCCAAAACCCCAAGCCCGAAACCTTAAACCCTGAAGCCCAAAACCCTAAAGCTTAAACCCCAAAACCCTAAACCCTAAACCTTAAACCCTAAAGCCCAAAACCCTAAAGCTTAAACCCTAAAACCCTAAACCCTAAAGCCCAAAACCCTAAAGCTAAAACCCTAAAGCCCTAAAGCTTAAGGCCTAAAACCTTAAACCCTAAAGCCCAAAATCCTAAAGCTTAAATCCTAAAGCCCTAAAACCCTAAACCCGAAACCTTAAACCCTAAAGTCTAAGCTTAAACCCTAAAGCCCTAAACCCTAAACCCAAAACCCTAAAGCTTAAACCCTAAAACCCTAAAGCCCTAAGCCCGAAACCTTAAACGCTAAAGCCCAAAAACCTAAGGCCTAAACCCTAAAACCCGAAACCCGAAACCTTAGACCCTGAAGCCCAAAACCCTATTTAAACCCTAAAACCCTAAACCCTAAACCTTAAACCCTAAAGCCCAAAACCCTAACGCTTAAACCCTAAAACCCTAAACCCTAAAGCCCAAGACCCTAAAGCTTAAACCCTAAAGCCCTAAAGCTTAAACCCTAAAACCCTAAACCCAAAACCCTAAAGCTTAAACCCTAAAGCACTAAATCCAAAACCCAAAACCCTAAAGCTTAAGCCCTAAAGCCCTAAAGCCCTAAACCCGAAACCTTAAACCCTAAAGCCCAAAACCCTAAAGCCTAAACCCTAAACCCTAAACCCGAAACCTTAAACCCTGAAGCCCTAAACCCTAGAGCCCTAATCCCGAAACCTTAAACCCGGAACCCCCAAACCGTAATACCCTAAACCTTAAACCCTAAGCCCTAAACCCTAAACCTTAAACCCTGAAGCCCAAAACCCACAACCCGAAACCCTAAAACCCAAAACCCTAAAGTCCAAAGCCCTAAAGTCCAAAACCCTAAAGTCCACAACCCAAAACCCTAAACCCTAAAACCCAAAACCCTAAAGTCCAAAGCCCTAATTTCCAAAACCCTAAAGTCCACAACCCAAAACCCTAAACCCTCCAAGTTTCCTTTTTTCAAAGTCGGCGCCTTGCCGTGCTATTGCTCATCTAAGAGCGGATGGCTTAGGGTTTAGGGCTGAGTACTAGGTTTAGAGCTGTGTGGTTTAGGGTATAGAGCTTCGGGCTTTGAGTTTAGGGTTTAAGGTTTACAGTTTAGGGTTTAGGCCTTAGAGTGTAAAGTTTAGGGTTTAGGGTTTGAGGGCTTCGGGCTTGGGTCTTCAGAGTCCAGGCCATGTGAAGGTTGGGTTGTGGGTCCCAGAGAGCCCACTACCCCTGCCCCTGAATTATGGAATATACCCTTAAGTTATAGGGGCCTTCGTAGTAGTTTACCTTAAGTTATAGGTGCCTTAGTAGTTTTCCTTAAGTTATAGAGGCTTTCGTAGTACTTTCAGGAACGTACGCTCTCTGGGAGGAACTCGGCAAGCTCCTAAAACGAATCAACGAGTCGGGGCTGTTTGGGATGTTGGATTCGTTGGGCCCAGATGTCCCCGAACCTTACCTCGAACTACCATAACCTTCTTGATTCGTAGGTTCTTAATATACAGCCTGAGATATCATACTTAGGAACTCTATAACACAAGCAGGCTTTGGTAGGTTATAAGGTAAACTAGATGCCCTATTAAATCGCAAACCGCACTCGAAGACCCGAAGGCCACAAAGCCTAGATGAACTCAGGATTTAGGGTTTGGAGGTTTAGGGGATGAAGTTCCGATGCCTTAGACCCCAAACCCTGTCATTAGACAGTTTAGGGTTCGTGTTTAGGGTTTAGGGTTTAGGAGGAAATCTCCGGCCATGTGGCGGCCGTTGCTTGTAGTAGGGAGCTCCTTTGTGCGTGGTCTGGGTCAGCCAAAACCGGAAGCCAATCTACTGTAGAGGCCTTAATAATTACCTATACTATTTTAGGGATTCCTTATATAGTTATAGTAGAATATACCCCAAAACCCTAGTCTAATTATAAAGGCCACTATATTAGGTCCAATGAAGGCCCCATCGGGGTTCTGCTAGGTTTCATGTCGGCATTTGGGCCTTAGGGTTTTCATTCCTGATTCAGGGGTTCATTCCGTAAGCCCCTCTCCTTATCCAACCCCAAGGCTCTTTCCCCCTCAAACAAAACACTCCCGAAGCCCTAAACGCTTGATAAATGCCCAGCCGAAAACTTTAAGCCTGTAGCACTAGTTACCCTAAACCCTAAACCCTAAACTCCTAAACCCCTAAACCCTAAACCCTAAACCTTAAACCCAGGAAAATCTCAGCGGATGCTCCTTCTGTGGAGCCCTCAATACTTCACGCGCCTCTGGTGCACACTAGAGGCGCGCCAGGGGGGGGGGGCCGGGCTAAGGGCCGCGGGCTTTGGGTTAAAGGTTTAGGCTTTAGGCTTTAGGGTTGTTTTTACGACCGCCATGCGCCACCGATGCTTTTATGGTGCATGGAAAACTTACATGCAAAGCGCGTAGAGGGTTTAGGGGTTTAGGGTTTAGGGGTTTCGGGTTTGATATGTAGGGTTGGCCTGGAGCCGAGAACTGACAGGATGTATGAGTTTAGGGGGCACCAGGCCTGAAGCCCAAACAGGGGTTTCAGATGTGTTAGTTTTGGTTCGCAGGGCTTGGAGGCATGTGTTGGGATTGAGGTTCGCATGTAGGGCCTAGCGGGCATACGACGCCAGAGATGGCATGTAAGTTTCTGCTGAGCTTCTACTGTTGCTCCGGCGGCACGGAGTTTAGGGTCTGAAGGGTCGGATGTAGGGTTTAGGGTTTAGAGTTATAAGGTTTGGGGCTATAGGGTTACGGGTTTGGGGTTCCTCCATTGAAGTTCCTGTTTGGTTTAACCATGCAATAGTATAAAGTTGAACTGTATGAGGTGCCCCGACAGAAAGAACTACAGTGTATACTAGAGGTAGGATGGTCTCATAAGCCTACGGGCCGAGGGTGAGCTGGCAGTCCGACTAGTAAACGAGAGAGAGGCCTCTTGGAAGACCATCGATTTTCCCTTATTGGGCTGAGGAGGATCTTATGTACGAATATTTTTCAGAGGCTTCACAGGCCAGCCTGTACACTGTGCGAGCCCCAAGGTCGAGCACAAGTTTTAAGTGCCATTTATTATGAGCGACAGTGATGTTTCGAATTTCAGTCATTTACATATGCCTCGATAATCCGGACGGCTCTTTTGAAGTCCTGACACAGTACCTGCCAAGATGTTTTATTTTGAAACCTCAAGCCAGAGCTCTAAACCCTAAGCTCTCTAGAACCGAGATCCAAAACCCAGACCCGCAAGCCTTAAATCCTAAGCCCCCCAAACTCCAAAACCCAAATCCAAAGCTCCAGCACCGAAAGCCCTAAACTCAACAAAGTGCATCGTAACAGGTTGCGGCTTTGGTCAGAGCGTCGAATGGCATCAATGGCCAAATTGAAGGAGCCTTTACCAGAGCAAGACTTGTCGGAATTGTAAAAGTGACACTACCAATGATAGTGACAAGAAGGCACAACCTTTGCATATATTGCCACCCGTCTTTTTTCTGACGACAAGGAAGAGTACCACCAGCAATATCGGGATCATGGTCATGAAGGCGATGATGAATGATGATGGTGACGATGAGCATCATAATGCAAGATGATGATGAAGATCATGGTGATGGTGACGACGCGTTGATGATGATAGTTGTCTAAGGGTGATAACATGATAATGCGCTTGAATTTGGTTTTGGCGATGGCTCTGATGGTGACGCCAATGATGAACATGACGACGGTCGACGATGATTGCTGCTAATGGTGTTGCTTTGTGCCAGTGTCTTCATGATTTTCTAGCGCCTGCTGGTCCTTCTCTGCTCGCCAGCTACTATTACAAATGCTAGCCCCGGTACATGTGCTGCCTACTACGGCGACGACGACGACGACTACCACTACCACCACCACTACCATTACCACTACTACTGCTGCTACTACTACTACTACTACTACTACTCCTGCTGCTGCTGCTGCTACTACTACTACTACTCCCACTACTACTGCTGCTATTGTTATTATTACTACTACTACTGCGACGACGACGACTACTACTGCTATTACCGTGATTATTACGACGACGACGACGACGACGACGACTACTACTACTACTACTACCTCTCCTAC